TTGGGCCGACCCTTGTTGGGATAAGGGCAGTAGGATGATGACGATGATAACTCTACTTATAATAAAAAATATTTCGATCATAGTTATATGACGTTACAGCCAATTCGCGATGGGGCTACGTGTTCCTATTACACTCTGAACAGAGGAGTATAATTTACTATACTTAGGTTTATACTTAGGATTATTATTATATTAGTATATCATACTAGATCAGTATATCATGCTTACTTAGTAGAAAACTGTAACACCATCTGCAAACTACAAAAACTTTTCTCTTAATATAATCAGATAATATTATAAAAAGATATTTTTTACCAGAGAAGTTAAATACTTAAGCATGGACAGATGTTTCGTATATGTGCTGTTTAGAGATTTAATACAAACTTGCAATGATCCGTGGCAAGTAGCGCGTTCACAAAGGAATTCATTAATATAAAGAAGCGTATAAGCGGCCCCTATTTAAATATTGAAAGATAATTTACGATTCTTGTTACCTAAGCCATTATTTGAATGACCTAGTTAACTTCACTATCATACCTTTTCTTTCCATAGTAAACGGTAGAACAGTGAACGATACGAAATCAAAGTTTTACTCACTCATTTTGCTATTTTGAAAGACATGAAATCAAGTTTTTACTCACTGCTCAAGCTTTTTGCTTTTGTAATATTTTCTTTATAATTTTCTTTTAAGTTACAGTCTGGATTGTTCGGATAGCGAGATTAGATGGAGGGCAAAATTCGCCAACATAAGGATAACTGTCAAAACAATAGATACTAGCATCCTTAAAATAAAGTTGTTGGTTGTTTTTTTTTTTTTCATTTTCTTAATTCCTTTAATTCCTTAATTTAATCACTACCTTCGCATTAAATCTGGTGAACCTCACCACCTTACCTTTTTGTTTTAAAAGTCTTAATACCACGGCCTGATTCACCCAGGCCGTGGTATTTCCCCAGATGAGGCTGCCCTGCGTTACACCTACCACTAAAAACTGATCGACCTACCACTACGACAATAATAATTCACAACAACTTCTCTTATCAACGCATGAACCTACTGTAAATATCGGCTATAAAGCGAAAATATCATGCATGAATGTTTAAAAAGCATTCGCATGCGTCCATAGGTGCTAATGTATTCCTTTGTGGGGTATACTGCTCTGTGGGGATCATTGTCAGGTATAGCTCGGTGTATTCATGTGCTAATACGGCACTGGTTTGTTTATTAACAACGTTCAGGTAGTAGTTTATATTCAAATGAACTTGTAATTAATTTAATCTTGTCATTATTAATATGCGGTACTATAAAAGACCAATTTCCGCTTCGAGAAATACGGTAATCCGTTGTGAAAATAAACAAAATTTTGTTAAACGGTCTTTTAAATTCCTCAATCAATTTCCAATCTCCCAAAATTTGTAGATTATATGAATGAGGAACTAGGCTTTAGTAACAAAACAAAAATTACTAGTCAAAAATGACATGAATATGTTTTGTTGTCACTTTTTGAGTTTTATGGAGAAATAATGCAGGAATAATTTTCTGTTCTTAATGGGCACTAATGTGCCTTGCGCTAAAACTAGCTTGTCTAACCTCAATTCGGTATTTTACGTATGTGCTCTAAATGTTTCATCTCTATAAAGATTTTCACCCGGCCCTGTTTAGGTTCTACTTGCTGGAAGGTAAATAATAAAATTAATCTTGCTGTCAGCCTTGTTTCCTAAACGATGAAATAGAAATTCTTAAACAGTGGTAGAGACACGCAAGTCTTCTCTGATGCACGACTGGGCAGGTCCGTTAGCGCAAGTACCTTACATTACATTATAAGGGTGCAACGTATCTGCAATTCTAGGGGTGTTGCAAATTTCAATGAGCGGCGGTTATCACTTGGCATCAGGTGAACCACCAGCACACTTGCCACCTTCTCACATACAAAGTATATCGAAAAATAGACCGACTAGAAACTATGTGATGCGTCTTGGGAAAGTGTATAAAAACTCTACTTAATTTCCTTTACCTTTCCATAAGGAATATAATGAGAGAGATAGAGAGAGAAGGGAGAGAAAAACATAGCAAAACGCTCGTACCTTCGATTCGCAATATACGTATCAATGTAAAATATTACAGAAACATTGCGATCACTTATTCCAAAGTACGGGCTGTGATATTTTGCCGACGACAGTATCTAAATAAAATTCGTAATGTATGCGGACCTTTGACCCTGCTCCACGTAAATCATGAGGTTCCTTTTTATTATGAAAACTAAAACAGACTTAAATTTAGCTTCACCTGTACAGACAATATACCAAAATTCAATAAGTCTACCATAAGGTAAAGAAATAAATCAAAAATAATATTCATAAATTTAATCGAGACATAATTTTCTATACCTTTACCTGCAAAATAGTAACAATCATTTCTAAGTTCGCGCAGATAAAAGAGAACAGCGCAGTAATATAAATTTTGCTTATAATCAAGTCTTATTCCATAAAATTTTGTATCATTCTGGAACTTAATACTTTATAACTTTCAGATTTTTTTTGAAAATTAATTTTCGTGTCTATTGTGATCTAAGTTCCTGCTTGAAAGAAAATAAATATTTTATATAACATAGAATTTAATATAATAGTTTCATTTTTATATCCACATAGACGTTAATTTGTTTTGGATGAAGTTGTTTTGTAAATGTTTTTAATAATATTTTACTGTCCAGCTGTTTTTTTTTGTTTAACACAAAAGTGGCATATCCACAATTAGTCTTGTCTCATTTTCATTGAGACTAAATTTCAATTGCTCTATAACTCGGCTTATGGTATATAACGTTTTGTTTCACAGAGAATATGTTAAATGTTTCAATGAATAAAATGACTCCAAAAAAATATATTAAAAACTTTATATGTGCCCTTTAAAAAACAGGTTAATTTATCGTGTGATAGTTTTCAGTTTCTCTATTCGCTCCTTTCCATGTTATTATGAAAGCTAGCGCATTGTAATTATTTTTAGGAAGCAAAAGTTTACCATTTTTCTTAATGTTGTCCGAATTTATAGACAAAAAAATTGCTCTCCCCGGCGGGGAATCGAACCCCGGTCTCCCGCGTGACAGGCGGGGATACTAACCACTATACTGCCGAGAATGTGAAATAATATCTAAAATGTAAATATCCTATTCATTAGAAGTATATTTTCATAGAGTATATTACTTGTGATCGGTGAAGTGCGAATAACAATATATTAATAATTTATTGAATTGAGTAAACTGTAAGAGATGGAGAGAGAGAGAGGGGTCAATTCTATATTGCTAATATATGTCTCACTCACTCTTATACGCGGAGATGACCTCGCCCACAGAGGTATTAAAATTGAGTTTAGGGAATGATTGGCCCCTTGGATCGGTCTGTCTTCTTGTAAAAAGTTTTAAAATAATTGTCTGGCGAAATATAAATAACACAATACAATACCTACAAAAAGCGTCAGAATTTACGTGAAGTTGAGTAAAATTATTTTGATATAATTATTTTGAAGCATTTGTAAACCAATACGGCCAGTGGGCGAAAAGTGTTTGGGAGTATTGACGACTTATTTTTAACGATATTGTCGAAAATAAATTAAAAATGTCTTGTGTCAATCTCTCCCTCCAAACTCCTGTATATTCCTCTTCTTCCTTCAAGAAACTTTTATAGTGACAGCTGTGTGTTTGCGAAATTCTCTGCCCCTTCACATTCGACGAGTCTCTTCTTTTTTTTTAAAAACCTAGTAAAAGCTTAACACTTGGAACTGTGAACTCATGCTTTTTTTTTTCTTTTCCTCCTTTTCCTGAAAACTTTGACTAACTCATTGATGTATAAATGCCTTCATCCGGTGTTTATAAGTGATTCATGAACATCTCCCTCTGCTCTCTTCTTAATGTCTTATAAGAAATCGCTTTCTGAGTAATAAGACCGCCTATTGTACTTCCATTCCCATTCATTTGTAATTTGCTTTTTATATATATTTTTTTTGTGCAATAAAGTAGAAATAAACAAATAAAATAAAAACGTTTTTACAAAAAAAGGTACATACCTTGATTACCTGATACCTGGAAATTGGCCCACTGATCTAGCATGCGATCGTAGTACCTACTAACACTACTCAAACATACACATTTCGTTCGTCAGAAAATACGTGACGTCTGGCGGCCCTGCGATTTTGGCCCATTATAAAATAAACATAAAAATACATACAGTCTAACATGCCTCCTTTTTGATGCCGGCTAAAAATGTTTGATTAAATTTTTTAAGACTTTATGCATAGACTTGTACAAATGAGTACTTAATTATGTCAACGTCATTTTCATATGGCGCAATCAATAATGTTTAATAAAAGAATGATAACGCATGTCCATACGGCGCAGCGTTTAAAAATTGTTCCTCTTTACATTAATTGACATAAGACAAATGACATGTAAGTGAATGTGAAATATGTTATAGAACGTATTTTATGGAAAGAGATAACAGTCTATAGAGTTGCAACCTCATTACACCAACTGTCGTAATGTGAGTACCTCAGGTTTGGTGCGCTAATGTCGTGTCTACCTCGTATTTGTATACAGGGTGTCCAGTAAATAGCACGACATACTGAAGGGGGTGAGAGTTTGGATCAATACCTACCAAAAAAACACAATATATGTTCATTATATATTCAACATATATTGTGTTTTTTTTGGTAGGTATTAATTAACCAAAGCTGCTATTTACTGGACACCCTGTATAATATCATTGGGCATAATGAATGTATTGTACAATACTACTATTTACATAACATATTGTGGCAAAACCCACGTATCCTTTGTGTCGTAAATTTTAATGACACAAATACGTATTTAGACGTCACATTTTACACGATTTGTCAGTGTCCAACAATTTTCGATGCGATTTAAATTTATGTTTTGAAATGAATTTTGTTACTTGTTGTTTTTCTTATTTTAAGTAGAAAGGGCCGAAGTCTAAATCTTTCTTGAACAGCAGCCATGGCTATGGCAGAGAAGAAGAACGAATACCCGCCGAGCGTGGAGGCCGACCGTCGCCTGCTGAAATTCGACACTTGGGAGGAGTACCTGGATTCGCTGATTGAGATCGCAGACCTTCGAAACCTTAGGAGTATCGAGTCTGCCCGCACTATCGCTGCACTTGGGTACAGGTACGGAAAATGAGTTACAACAACATTATTCCCTCATAAATTATTTTGTATTATTAATAAATTTATTAATAAAGCTTTTGTCTCAAAATATATCATCTCTCAGTATCTGACCCTTTACAACGGCATAGCTGATGCTGTCTACTTTACTAACTGTTCTACGTTCAAACACCACTTTGAAATATATAGTATACGTTTTTGTTGTATGGTAATGCATTCTTTCTTGATAACATTGATAATATTTGCAGTGCGTTCATTATTTATTTATAATATTTGCGTGTCTTACGTATAACTAAAGATAATTACTAGCCTTTATACATCGGTATTGTAAATTGATTTTGTGGGGTAAAAGTAAAGTAACAGCCTATACATGTCCCACTGCTGGGCAAAGGCCTCCTCTATACAGAGGGTATCAGGGCATAGTCCACCACGCAGCCCCACTGCGGATTGGCGGACTTCACATATCTTCGAAATATATATTTTTTTATTACTATTTCGAAAATATGCAGGTTTTCTCACGATGTTTTCCTTCACCGCGGAGCACGTGATAAGTCAGCACTTAAAGTTAAAAACTTCATTGGTGCAACTTCACCGGGGATCGAACTCAGGTTGCTCGAGTATATAGAATTAAAGGCGAGTGCCCGAACACTGAGCTATCACGGCTCTCTGGGGGCACGGCTTTGTGGGGTACTTTTCTACATTAACGAAAATTTTAATAGTTGCCTAATGTTTTTGCTCTGCTGGACGACATAATTTTAGCTGATTCTCCATGTTCTTGTAACTTTGAATCGGATATAACTTCAACATTTTTTTACAGAGCTAACGGCGATACTTTACAGGAAAAAGAATTTTATGCCAGACGTAAAGTAATTCACAATATAGTTTACCCGGTTACAAAGCCGTACGTCTTAGTAAGCGAAGGTACCGACTTAGACGATCCCTTTAAAAGAGAATTGGCTATAAGGGAGCGTGCGAACAGAATTGGTATTTTGCAGGTATGAACAAAATAGTTTGATTGAAACTTTTACGATTTATGATACATGTTACAATATACTTTCATAAGACGGGGCTTTTTGTATATTTTTTTAGGACACATTTTTACACAACGTTCTCAAGTCCCAAACTTAGCAACGCTTGTACTATGGGTACTAGATAAATGATAAATATACTTAAACATACTTTTCTTTTGTAAATAAATACATATTATACATATGTAAATAAATACATATTAGACACTAGAAAAACACTATATGTTCATCACACAATATTTTTCCAGTATTGGGGATCGAACCCACACCTGGCCCACCACTCTGGCGCAGGAGGCAGGTACACTACCCACTACGCCATTTGGGCCGTCTAGTATCTATGAATAAAAAATTTGGATACGAAGCAATGTCTACACTTGGAAATGTTAATAATTGAGCAATTTCTTAAGTGATGGTGACGTCTCATTGCTAGACATTTATAACGAGATTCTCATTAATCTTTTTCTATGACGTCAATACTTATGTTGTATTTACTACGTACAAATAGGTACATATAATTCATTTCAATTAAGTTTTGAAACTAATCATCATCAATTTATGAAATAATAAGTGCATTGAAATTATTTTAAAACAAATTACATGTGATATTTTCTTGAATAATAAAAATGAACCTTCTTAAATGAACCTTTCCCTGGACCGATATGAGTGGAAGAAATAGAAAATTTTCTAGATATCTCCCAGTAATCACGATAACGTTTGCCATTAAATGTGGCGAAGGATGAACACGCCAATATGAGGCGTACGTATTATTCACGCGTTCGAAGATCCTCATAGAGCCGAGATGGCTCCTTTTTCCAATCAATGCTCCCCCTTCCCACTTTAAAGCTTCCGAATGATTACAATTTTTGCATACATAAGAAGAACCGATGACCGAAATGGCTCGTTGGCGCAGTTGCTAAGCTATTGGCTTCAGCGCCGGGCTTCGTACGATTCCCACACGGAAAGGGTATTAGTGTGTCCCATAGAAAATTACTCCGTATATGGGTTTTTATTCCCAAAAAGGGTTGACGTCAGGTGGGCGACCGTCGTAAGAAAAAGGTTGACAAAACTACTTACAACATGATCGACATGTTGTACCGACCCCACTTGGGTGGGATAAGGGCAGGAGGATTTATTTATTTATTTATTTAATCTCTTTATTGCACAAATTGTACAAAGGCGAGCTAATGCTATATTGCATTCTCTACCAGCTAACCCTAGGTAGAACAAAAACAAAATGATGATGATGATGATGATATTAAGAACCGACGACAGAACATTAATTTCACACTAAACGTGGAAATTGTTGTGTTTACACATAATTCGCACCGTGCGTAGAATAATGTTCTGTGGTCACATAGAACGAATTTGATTTTATCATCGGAAAGTCTTAATTATTGTCTACGCTTTCAGATGACATTTTTTTTCGTCTGACTTATAGATATTGAGATTTAGAATAGAACAACGTTCCATCTGATTTTTGCTCCGCAGTACAAGGACATGTATACGTTTAGACACTGTTTTTTGTACTGACTAAACTAAACTTATTAATGTAATAGACGAGTGTAAAATAGTCTATTAGAGTCAATTGATAATTATTGCACAGTCACCCACTTTTTATGGTTTTTTCGTTGAAAACAGTGCTACATGCCTTTGTATCATACATATTTTCTGATTTTTAAGTAGAACAACATTATAAATGAACGTGTGACCCATTATTTTTTTGGATGTTCCGTTGAACAACATTATATAAACGTGTTTATGTGATCTTGTGATCCATTAGTGATTGCCATTTTCCGTCGTCAAAACGTCACTATTACACATGAAACCTCGTCAAAACGTCAAAACGTCACTATTACACATGAAACCTCGTCAAAACGTCAAAACGTCACTATTACACATGAAACCTTTTATTTCCTAAATTTATATAAAAAAATTATTAATTCAAAAAGTATACTGTTTGTTAATATACCTAATTATATCATATACCTCAAAAAAACTATAAATAAAAAAACTATAACCAAAATAAAAAAAAATAATTTGAATCGGCCGTCCTGAACAATTACAATTTTGCAGATGTCACGTTGTTCTACGCAGGTTGCGAATTGTATACTTAAATAATTTTGGCATTACGTGAAATATTGCAAAATATCTTTTGAATATTACGCAGCATTTTTTTCCGTATGTTAAAACGTCAAACGTGATAATTCCAACAGCAAATATACGAAATTTGGCAGCATAGATTAGCAAATTTTCTTGCAGTGTAAACTAGTTTACCAATTAACCCGCGATTAACCACCATTCTACAATTATTAATAATTTTATAAATATGAATGCAAACGCTCGATTTCGCTTTGCATCGTAATTAATATCAGGTTGATAACAATGAATCTGAGTAAATATTTTACCGCGCCTTTGTAAAATACCTTCGGAAAGACAAGAGAATTAACGTGCTTAGACCGATCTTTTTCGCGAGTACAGAAGGACTCAAAGTAACGTTTTCATCTCAATTTGTTTATTATTTTCAGTCTATCATCTTCATTCGTCATTTCACGAAGAGCGGCTTCGAGATATCCGGATACATCGACTACGCACATAGACTACTCACCGAAGACTGGGTGCCGTTTTTTAAGACGAGAAAGATGCTGTGGCCGAGGGACAGTGACCTGGGATATTTTCATTGGCGGCACGGCACCGTTCGAAGCAACATCAGCCGAAATTACAAGGTAAGTGTTATCCTCGAAGCTTAGTGGATTCCAACGACCTAAACCGAGTACAAAAATCATCTGAAGTGTAGAGACTAGCACAATAAAATGACTTATAAAAAAAATATTGATCTCAAATAGAAGTAATGTATATTTACGAGAAATACAACTTTAGTGAAACCGACCTAACTGTACTCATACGAATACTTATCAACTAAAACAACTTGCTGAATTTCTTGCATTTTGCGCTTAAAAACCAAACGAGGTATTTTAATTTTAGCCAATAATGGATCCAGAACAAGGGCTGCTGTTTCAAAATCGCCACGATCACAAAATAATTTGCCCAAATCCGGAACAAGAACCTGGACAAAACACATCCAAGAAGCGAGTTTACTCTCCTATGTATACCCAAATCGAAATCTACGATCACGTAGTTAGGAAAAAGAGCTAGCCAAATTTTATATTCAGAGTTGTATAAGTTCATACAATACATAATGGAATACAGTTAATAGTTTTCTAAATATATTTTAATTTGATACAAATTAAATTTGCTTTTATAATACATCGCTGTAAAGAAAAAAATAATATTAAAACAATTTTTAACCATGTCTATTACAATTTATTAAATTTAATTAAAATCTTCTCATTATCTTATTGATCTCATGTAACAGTTACCAAAAGTAAAATTAAGTATCTAAAAGTAAGTTCATGTTAGAATAATTTATATTCACGTTGAGTGAATTTCGGCTATGAGGATATTTTTAAACCTACTTTTTTCATAAAATTTAAAATAAAATGCCGAATCTAAAATAAGGTAGTAACTATCAAAGAGAATACTTGTCTCATGTTACAAGTATATAAAACTACGAGTATATACTTGTAACTTGATTACCAATGCGAATGTCTTCATAGCTTTCTAAAGTTGCCGTATTAATAAATAAAAATAAGTGATAAAACACTTTATATCAGTAAAACAGTAAATCAGTAAATATACGAATTGTTGTTGTTTAATATTATTCATACTTCTCATTTCATTAATCAGCTTTTTAACCTAAAGTAAATTACGATCTTCTATTCGATATGAAATACGAGTACATCAATCAAAATTAAATCTTATCCGGGACGTGGAACCGATGAATAAGTAGACATTGAGTGTCGCAAGTAATGACACAATGTAACAAGTATATGAAATACATCACACGTTGAATGAAGTGTATTTCTTATATTTAAGTAATCTACCCACTACATATGTAGAGATACTTTGAAACGTTCAACTGTGGTAGGGCCGCGCAGCAGTTCCCTGTTGCAAGAATCCGTCAGGGGAAGTACTACGACTTCACAGAATATCGGTGTGAATTGGAAGTGCTATACTTCTGCGTTTCGTCTGGTGAGTGGGTAGCCGGGGCCCACTTTATCAAAAGGTGGCGACGTATCTGTAACCCTACGGGTGTTGCAAATGTCCATGAGCGGCGGTTAACATCAGGTCAACCGCCAGTTCGAATGCCACCTTCTCACATAAATAATTTCGTCTGTGCAATGTCCATCTTAATATCAGGACTATCATATTTACGAGTATCTGTCTGATTATATGAACACTTTTAGAGTTATCTTTTAAACTTATGACTATCGTAACTATAAACTATAATACTTCTATATTCTGATTTACACATTATACATTTGGCTCTACAAACATTAAATTTTTTCTTAATTCTTTGTGTCATTGGTGTTTGAGGCAGACTCAAGCCGCGTCCGCTTTGCTGATTCCCTCGACGCACTGTGAACTACAGCTGTTCGGAGTGTGATACCAAAAATGTCCTCGTGGTACCTGTTCTCATCCTGCAAAAAAAAATCACCGAATTATTTACATTGTGCAAGAATGAAATGCCCTACACAAATTGTACTTTCACCAATTTGTAAACTTTCTATCAGGATATGGTATGAAATATTCAAAAAAATAAAATCAATATTAAATGAATGAACATTTCAGGATCTTTGTTCTACATAGTTTTCATCTGTAAAAAAATATGTTATATTATTAATTAGTGCTGAAGCCCTAGAAAAACAATACGTTTACTACGCAATAATTATCCCGCTCTGGCCCAAGAGACAGGTCCACCGTTCACTACGTGAGTCGCTTCGTCCAATAATTATATGAGTATTATGTAATTTTAGAAATAATATTATAAATTAAGTTGTAACAAATTAGTACGGCAAGGAGTAATTTAGCTATTAATGGTGAACCTCAGTAGTCGAGTAACTCTTTTGGATTTTTTATAGTTTTGTTCGCGGCGTACGTATTGACTTTTGAAGAAACTTAACGTTTCTTTAAATTTATATAGCCGCATATGAACTCTTTCTTTCACTATTAATGCCATATTAAAATATATATAATGCATTACCATCAAGTTAAGAATAAAATCTTCAGCTTCGTCTTGGGTCTTATTGGAATTGGCACTTATGATTTCTTTTAGTTTCTGTTTAACTTCTTCAGCCATCTTGCAGTCACCGCATACGTAAAAATGACCTTTATCTTCTAAGAGCATTCGAATGATACTAGCACCTTCATCTTCTAGGAGGGCTTGAACGTGCTTCTGTGTAAACAAATTAAGTATTTAAAAATATTAAATTATTTTCATCTTTTTATTTCTTATTATATTCATTTTTTTATTTTCTTGCTTTATACAGGGTGTCGTTACCACCGCGACAATAAATGAACACACGTCTAATGCTACTTGCCAATAATCATAAAAAATGTTAACGTTAAAAAAATCCATAATAATTTTTTTTTCAAACAAATTAATTAAGTAAAAAAGAAACAAAATTTGTAACATCCTATACAACTACAACTGACTGATTCATACATTCAGAGACTTCTTCATTCGTTGCTACAGCGTCGCATTACAAGCCTCTCCTACTAACTGTATGTTTTGTCTCTTTTAAATTCATTCAACCCATTCATATGCTTTGTGACCTTTACAAATGAACTTTACATTACAGTTTTATACCTAAGGGTGTTCTAAAATTCTTTGTTTTGGAAAATTTGATAACTTGGTAAATATTGATGTTTAAAGAATGTGAATGTTTAATAAAATTTTAAAAAGTTATCCTCTATATGTGTATTCATTTATTGTCGCGATGGCAACGACTCGCCGTATACCGGGCACTATCACAAATTTATGTCACGGGGACCTTTTTTAAACAATGTTTTTTGTTTTACCTTACAAACGCCGTCTTCCCTCGAAAGCGCTAACATTGATTTATTAAGGACCCCGCAAGCTACTGCTTCTTCTTTTTCTTCTTTGTATAAATCCATACTCCTGTATCGGCAGCCAAAGAATAGCCAAATGGGTCCAACATTAGTCACCTTAGAACTAGAAATTTGGCATTTCCGATGATGCCAGAATCCTCTGAATGGTGCAATACCCGAACCTGGTCCGACCAAAATAAGTGGAGCGGATAGGTCTTGAGGCATATGGAAATTTGGTGCCCTAAAATGAAGAGATTAAAATAAAGTTCAATAAATAAATTTAGTTAAAATCAAAGTATGTATACTGACCTTCTTATGAAGATTGTTAATTCATCATTTGGCTTTTGATTCTGCAGATATGTTGAGCATACGCCATAATGAGTAGTGCCTTGTCCACCTTAAAATGAAACCCATTTGAATGACTTTTTACGGTGGTAGGGCCACGCAGCAGGCTCGGCTGTTGCATGAATGGGCAGGCCCGTCCGGGTAAGTACCACAACCTCACAGAAGAGCAGCGTAAAGTGGAAGTATAACAAATACTTTCGCGTTTCGTCAGGTGAGTGAGGTAGCCGGTGCCCAATTTTCAAAAGGTTGTCAACGCATCTGTAACCCTCGGGTGAAGCAAATGTCCATGGGCGGCGGTATTCACTAACCATCAGGTGAACCGTCTTCTCGTTTGGCAACTTTTCACATAAAAAAAAACATGACTTAATTTTAGCTTTGAGAACACCACAAACGTACCTTGAGTTTTGTAAACTACAACAGCGACCGTTATATGTATCCTTTGGGGATGTGCTAACGGTGAGGAAGATATGGAATAAAATCTTGGCTGTAAATGAGGTAGTAACATAGCCAGTAGGGATGCTTGAGGTCTACATGAGGGAAGAAAGTCCAGTACTTCTCCCAAGTGGGGGTAAAAATTATGTCTCCAGTCATCGTATTTATTGGAGTCCTGAAATATATATATATGTAATTTGTATTATATGTATGGTAATTTAAATTATGAAATTGATTATACTGCACATTAATTAATTATAACATTTTAGTTAAATATTCAACTATACCTCAACTAATTCGTTGATGAAATTGATTTCTCTTTGTTCAGTGCATGCCGTTGCTAGGTATTTCAACACTTTGGTTGAAGGTGGCGTAGTTATATCCAGAAACCTTGTGAAAATATCTCTTACTGAGACGGCTGGCAAGCGTTCGTGTTTCTCCCAATTTTTCACTGCGCCTAATCAATTATTTTTATTCAAATGTTAATAACTAATTCTAAGTAAGTTACAAAATAAAATACAGGGTGGCTTTTCTAAATGTATCCATTTTTTTTTATTAAATTCTAGACATAAATAATGTTATATAAAAAATGATAAATATTTAAAATGACTCTTAATTAATTAATTACATTCATTTGAACTTATCTCAAAAAGTGCGTGATTTATGTGGAACTCATTTATTTTACGCGCGATCATTCATAACTAACACGCACACAAGTTTGTGCACAGTAAAATTTAGGTATTTATGAATGACTACCGCATTGTCAACATCTGTTCTGTTTTTTTAGGGAATAGAATGGCATTTTTTTGGAAAAAAGAAGTTTGTTTTTTATTTCAATAAACGATTATACTACCGAGTCTGAACCTCCTGTGTAAATTTGGGCATTCTCAAAAAATTTCCTTGTATAAAACGTTTTACCTGTAGGAGTGAGAGTTTCCTTCAAAACTTGTAGTTGAACAGGTTTATCATAACTTTCGACATCTTTCAATCTTTGTAAGATTGTGTCAACGATTTCCTTGCGATTACAGGCTAAAACTCCGACGTGGTCTCCCGGCTCGTATTTTAATTCGTTCTGAAAAAAAATGTCTGTAAGTTCACACTAAAACAGTAAAGGAATATCAAGATATCCATTTTTATTATTAAACAGTACAATTTATTAACGATCTGAAATCTCTACACGTGTTGCGAAAGTATCGATCAACTAAGACATTTGTCCCGTGATGGAATTGGATTAAAGTCTATAATCATATTAATTCGTACAGAATTTTGTTAAGAACGGAGATCGTATAACGAGCCATCAAACTAGTCTTCATTTTCGTGGCTGTTTAATAAAATATAATAAAACTAACAGAACCAACAGGTAACATTTTTATAAAATCCGTTCTTAGATGACCTCTACTGGGCGAAAGGAATATTCCTACCAAATTTCAATGTTTATGGACGCATCTGGAACCCTCGGTTGTGGCAGATGTCCATGAGCGGCGGTATTCACTTAACATCAGTAGAACCGTCTGTTCGCTTGACAACTTTTCGCATAAAAAAAATTGGGCTCCGGCCACCTCACTCACCAGACGAAACGCGAAAGTATTATACTTCCACTTTACGCTGGTCTTCTCTGAGGTCGTGGTCCTTACGCGGACAAGCCTGCCCATTCGTGCAACAGCCGAGGCTGCTGCGTGGCCCTACCACCGTAAATCTCTTATATATATATGTATATAGATAAACCTAATGTGTTTTTCAATCTAAAATTAAATATAACTTACATTTGACTCCATATCGAGAAAAATCGTAGCACGGTCAGCAGTGAAATCACCGAGGTGCTTATTTTCCTTGACAACGCATGTTAACAGCTGCTTTCTAAATCCTACTTCAAGCGCAGACTTCATGGGCAGAATTTTGTCGGGTTTTCCAAATCTCACTGTCTCTTCAGTCAGTGGCATCAATCCAAGAGCCTTTTTACCATCTTTTACCATTTCGTTTTCTTCTAAACAGAACGTTTCACAAGCTACCTAAAATTATGCTTAATTAATTGAAAGATACTTATAAAAAATCATACCAATGCATATTTTATTTTATTTCTCTTGGTATACAAAAAAAACCAAAAATTAACACATTACAATGTCAAAAGCCAAAAATATGCGTACACAACTTTCTATGTTATCATCGGAACAAGGTTTAATCCAAAATTTACACTAGGTTAAAAACAAAAACTGGTAAATACATAGAATTAAAACAATAAAAGTAAAAAAGATATATTATTTTACGCCTTAATTAATTGTATAAAAAATTAAAATAAATCACTTACATGAAATATATTAGAGGACCAGTTTCGGAACTGTTGCTCTTGTCCGTACATCTCATCTCCGCAAGCTAATTCAAGGAGCCTTTCGCCTCCTAAATCTTCAAGTACTTTATCTACTGTCTTTCCGAAGTTACAGAACTTTGGGTACGCGCTTGACCCCAGTGCGAAAACTGCGTAACAAACGTTACTCAGCGGTCCGATGTTCTCTATTGACGATGCGCCCGCCACACTGCCTAAAATTGAAATTAAATATTACGGTCACATACGGTTACCTACATAATATGTCACTATATTAATGAAAACAAGTTACTTACTTTTATTCGATTCTAAACGTGATAGTTGCCTTTTGTAATCATTATTTGGAGTCACACTGTTTGTCCTCATCAGAGATTTCGGGGTTGGAATTTTGTTGTTCCTGTGAAATGTTTTTTTGATACATTATAAAAAGCATAAGTAACAAATTGTAATACAACATATATTAAATGCGCATATCACTACAGTGTAATATTTTATTTTAATTGGGATGACACGATTCCCACATGGGACAAGTATTTGTGCGTCCCACAGATTCTGGATCAAGGTGTCTATTGCCTATAATTATTTTCGGCCGGTCGTACAAAATCCTCGCCAATGCCATTAACAACATTATTCACAAGTTGTGCCGACCTGGGCATAAGGACAGGAGAAAAAAAAGGTTATATTTATGTTGGCATTAATTTAATGCGCCAGTTGTATATTGTAGTTTAGGTAAGTGAAAAATTAGAAAATGCGTATTTATTAAAAAGTTCTGCAGTCAAAACTCAGCAGTAAAGTTAACAAAACGAGTCAAAATAATAATGAAATGGGCAGTTTAATAAATATTGAGCACTAAAATAGCAAAACGGGAAGTTATGTGTGAGCAGGTAACAAATCGTTGTTAGTTGGTAAGAAAGCTCATTCTAAGTAATTCCATAAACAAAGAGGGTAGCGACAAAAGGAAAAATATTTAAGCATGGCTTTATGATCACCTTCTTTATTTCCGTAAACTTAAGTTACGAAAAAGAAACTAAGCTGTGATGGAATGTACTTTGAAATTTTACTTTGGTAGGATTGATTAAAAATAATAGTGAAACGAAATTTGCTTCGAGACTAAGATGAATCAAAAAGCCCCGCCTCCTCCTAACGAGAGTTTACCTCTCTTGTATATCACTTTTATTGTCGACAATCGAATGTCTCCGCTTCCTTTGAACTGCATAATTATTTATCTAGCTGCCCATTCCATTATTTATTAAACTACTTATGTATGTTTATATAAGTTATTTAACGTATGTTCTTTTTAATGATATTGTACGATGTTTAGTCAGTTGTTTTTGAAGTTATACTTCTTTAGGCGCGTTATGAAAATATGATAAGAGTGAAATTTTAAAATGCGCGTACGTTTCTTTAACGCAAAACTAACAAACGCCTTTGTTACTTTTGCGTTACTTATTTTTTTTTATTTATATCCTTTTCCAGTCATTTTATTGTTTTACTTTAATAATTTATTTGCAAGCAATTAAAACTAAACTATTAACAAAACAAAACAATTTTTAATGATACCAAAGAACTTTAACTTCTCACGCGCGTACACAAGTACACGCACCCATTTTTTATTACAGTTCATCTAGTACTGTCGCACTCATATCAACTAGCAGAAAAATAAAATAACTGCCCATTGTTTTTTTCAACTGATCATTACAACCTAGCGAATGATTAAAGAACAGTTTTAACAGTTATTTCCTGTATATTTTCAATGGTAGTGAGGAATATAATTATAAAGTAGTATAAAGTATAAAGTAGTAAATTAAAAAATCTTTATAAATACCCAGCGATATCTCCCGTTTGGTCACCTTGACTTTGCTTTTCATTGTAAAGCATTTGGAACAAGTGTTCAGCGAATTCCTGAAGAACGGTAATCGTTATGAATGCTTAAAAACTAGTAAAAAATTATAGTACTAACAATAAGTATAAATATGTTCACAACAAACTTAAATTGGAAGGTTAAATATTTTTGCTACAACTTGTTCGAATGAAAAATGCGGTGTCGATATTAAACAAGCCAAGGAATTCTCAAAAATAGGATGACATAAACGGTACTTACTACGCCATTCGCAGGAGGTTCTCCGTTGCCAAAGGTGGAAGTTACGATCAAAAGGAGAGTTTCGTGTTCTATTGAGAACATATCGTACTCCGACATGCAGTGTACCTGTTATAAAACAGAATTTAATTTGCAAAACTCGAGACCAACGGCTGTACTCGTAGTCGTTATAAAACAACAACTAAATATGCAAATTTACCTGCGCGTTAAATGCATGTCCAAATATAGTTCCCAGTTCCTTAGCGTATTGTTCGGATTTTCCAGTTTCAGTGCCGTAAAGTATAGTCGCTTTAATGCGTTTGGAAAGAGCCTGCCCGAACAGTTTCGAAGTGAACTTAACAGCTCTGGCGATTTGCTTGAAGTGAAACTTTCTGTGTCCATTGCCGTTGTTTTCGGACTTCGACCATTGATGTGTTTTCCACGCAGGCTCCTGTACGTTACAGTCGCTTTATGTGTGCGAAAACTTTTCTTTGCAAACAAATACATAATATGTGTATTATATTATTGTTTTAAAATGTTAAAATGATGACTGGTGGTGCAGGGTTCGATTCCCAAAGGAGTCAAGTATTTGTGTTACCCACAGATTATTGTTTCGGGTCTGGGTGTTTGTCCACGTGAAATTTATGTTTGTAAAACGCTATCACAACACAGAAACATTAAATTCTCAAAATCTTCGAAATATATCATTTTTGATTTGTAAGTGTAAATAATTACATACCATACATTACATTAAATAGTAGTATAGTGGTCTTTAGGATGACTACAGTTTTTTTCCATACTCATATATCCTGCCAAACGGGGACCAAATTTGAATATCCGAATAACGCACAATATGAATAAGAAGAGAATTATGTATAGGGAGTAAGAATCTAGTGAGTCGTAATAAAAAGTTTCCGAAGACTAGCAACTACGTAATTATTTTGTATTAAATATGCACGTGTGTTTCATGTAAACATTACCATGTTTTTAATAATCACGTCACTAAGACATAACTGACCTCGACAATATTAAGTCGGTTGGCATCACAGAAGTTGCGACAGCCGATTTCCGTGCCCATGTACCAACCGTTGAAGGCGGTTCCCGTGAATTCCAATCCGCCGCAGTCCAATCTCATTCCCGACACCGCTGGCAATGCGTACCAACGTAAGTCGAGGTTTTTAAACCATTCGTACCTACAAATGTGAAAATTATAGTGGGTGCCACTTACTACCTATTGTAAAATGATGAGGTCGTGGTACTTCCCAGGACGAGACTGCCCATTTGAGGAACAGCAGAGCCTGCTGCATTGACCTATGACGATCGACTATTGATAAACTTACGATCTCTGCATTCCACAACAAAGAAAAAGAAATACAAGTAATCATTAACTCTCTACAAGTGATTTTTTTAAATGACAATTGGGTGTTTGTGTTTTCATTCGCTATTGTTATTAGCCCACATGAATCTAAGTCTAATCGGATAATGCAGACGCTACATTCAGCCATTGGCTTAATAAGTATAAAGTAAATTTTACAAGTACGCAAGGATTTGAATATTCTATTGTTTATTTGTAAACTAAGCAAGGTCAACATTTGAAAGTAAGCAAGTAGCTTTTGATGAGACTTAAATCCCTACGATTCTAATTAAGTTTGAATTCTAAAGGTTACTAGTAATTGCCATTTAATAAGCTGACTGAGCCGTTAAATAGCCTAAGGATAAATTTAATATATTATATTGTTGATGTCTAAATCATCGCGTTACCTCGGATGCTCCATTTCCACTTCCATGATAATCTCACGTGGAATGTCAAAGAACTCTGGATCTTTGCCGTCGGCTGATAATACTAAAGGTAATATATCCCACGCTGTTCGAGGTGGTTCCCAGCCTAGTTTGATGCAGATCTGAAAACATTGGATTTTTTTAATATGAATTGTAAATAACTGAATTTCTTTGGTGATACTTAAAAAAAATAAAATTTGTTTATTAGTGTCTTTGTTTATCTGTATGTCGCATGTATCGTACGGATTTCAATGTTTAACTAATTGATTTAAAAGGTTTACCATTAGATCAACATTTGGATACTTTTAAACATGTAATTAAATAAACACGAGCGAAGCCAAAGACAAAAGGTTGTTAAAAAATTTTGTACTCTTTGTCATGACAATGTTCAAAAATTTGAATAACGGGTTTTTATAATCTTTTGTAAAATCTAACTGGAACTTTCAATACAATGGCGTAGGTACAGAGGTAATTAACAATAGATCAACGTCGTGTTTTTCTCATTTTTATTTTTTGCTGTCTTCAACTTTTCATACATTTGACGTATCGTCGTATCAGTCATTATTACTTGATTGTACAATATCTTTTGGGTATAATTGTTACCAAACCTCATATAAAATTGTTGCGTTCTAAGCTTTTATTTTTTAATTCGGGTAGTAAGTTGATCAAATGATTTTCGTTAATATTGATCTTAGCGTTATAATTCATTAAATCTTCTAATAAGCGAAGAGTCGGAAACAGTTTATCCTCATAACGATTTTGATGAAGTAATCTAGGTGTAAATAAATGAATACATGAACAATACTATACACAAATAACAATACTACAGTTTTAAAAATTGTTCCGCTTTACATTATAGGACTTGGTATAAGTGAATGTGATAGATGATATAGAATGTATGATACGGAAAGAGATTGAGCAATTGGCATAATTTGAGTGCCTCATTTTCTGTGCGATAGTGTCATTATCTACCTCTTCTAACATCAGGTGAACCACCTTAAAAATTCTTACATAGGGACAAATATGTTTTAAGTTGTATTAACCTACTTCTGTGAATTCAACACGAGCTGGATCTCCCAAAATGGACCCGTCCTCTTCAACGTAACCAGCATAACTGATGAGTTGTTGATTCCAAATCCTGTAATCGTGGTTGCCGTCTGTACGCTGTGGAAATATTGTGATTGCCGACCTGAAATACAAACCTAAATATAGAATTATAAAAAAAAGTGTACGTGTACTTATGTACACGCGTATTAAGTTATAATATTTTATCTCATCATCATTTATTCTTTTTATAAATAATGATCTATTAAGCATAAGATAAAATGTAATGTTAGATATCATCAAAATGTTTTTCCAGTTCTGTAACTTAATTGGTATAATACTACTATATGTGTAAAGATCATATCAAAAGATACGCCGGCTAACACTCAAAAATCCTGTATTATATTTCCCATTGAATATCATTACAAATGCCAAGAAGAAACTTATCTCAAAACAAGTATAAGGTCAACAACGATAGAAGATAATTCAAGTAACTTTATTTGGAACTCCCCGAGTGCGAGTAATGTAAACTCTTTGTAGTCGTCCTGTTTTGTTTATCTCTTGCATGAATTCGTCATTTAAAACTCAATTCAGGTAATACAAAAATAACCAATTTTTACCTTATATTTCCTTTATTCGTGGCATATTTGATATGATTACAGAGTGCTTCGAACATTCCACTGGCTGTCGTTACCTCTCTGCAGTCAAATATCTGTTGTAATAAATAATTCTTCAGAAGCGTTATATTCAATACATATACAATTTAAGATCGTATGAAAATGTATATGTTTTATGAAATGTATAACACTTTATGAGTTGTGTTTATGAATAATCTGACATAAAATTTTGGAAAATTGTAATGGTCCGTATGTAGAGAAATAAATAGTCTATAACGTGAAAAGTTTTGCTCGAAGACATCAACCCCAATAATAAAATCGCGCTGAAAATTTTATTGTGATTATTTGTACTACACTATTTTTCTGGTTATTTTGACAAATTCTATAAAATCAATCCTAGGGAACGTGTGTGAATTTACATTTAAATACAAATATAAATGATGTTCCATAAATTCTTACTAACTCATTACTTGTCAATTATGGTATCTAAGTCGCTAATAGACGATAAATTGAATAACCTAGTAAAGAAAAAGTAAAGTATCAGCCTATACATGTCCCACTGCTGGGCAAAGGCCTACGCTTCCCCACTGCGGATTGGCGGACTTCACATATCTTCGAAATATTTTTTTTTGTTATTATTTCGAAAATATGCAGGTTTCCTTACGATGTTTTCCTTCACCGCAGAGCATGTGAATTCAGCACATAAAATTAACAATTTACATTGGTGGCGGCACCGGGGATCGAACTCGAGTATATTGAATTAAAGGCGAGCACCCGGACACTGAGCTATCACGGCTCCCACTAAATAACCTAAGTTTTTTTAAGTGTACTCAACAATTTTTATTTATAACTTTTTGACTTAATAACTTGAAGTTATTAAGGATTGACTTTCTGTCGAAGAAAAGAAAAAATAATAATCGTTTGAAGGGTAAAAAAAATGTTACTTTTCGCTCGAAAACTACACTATGCAAGTAAAATAAAAGGTAAAAACAGGTTTTTGTTTATAATTCATGACATTTTTTTTAGATCGTTCAATAAAATCAATCAAAAGTAATGAAAGAACGTAACAACGCATGTAAAAGAGGAAAAGGTTCAGCTATTATATGATTAATTAAATTTGTATATTATTTTTAAATTACATTAATATTTTGATGTTCATTTCAATGTCTCTGAATATTTTACTGACTCTAATGACTGAACTATATCTAAATTGATTTGAATATTATACGTACTTGCAATTTCTTCCATTGTATTCGTCCAATGCATCTTGTAGCATTGCGCCAAGCTAACTTTGCGCCAAACACTAGCTCTGGAGTTTTGAGATCATAAGTGCCTTTGGTTGTCAATTCCTTTTCGATTTCCTTTAGCCTCGACATGTGAGCATCAGAGTTTTCCCTGAAAAATAATTGAATCCTTATTAGGAAACTAAATGTAGCTACAATTTCACTTCATTACAAGTCAAAACACAGCAAAAGTAAATTGCAAATACAATTAAAATGTGGCCAAATAACAATCCCAGAAAAAAAAATCTATTTCTCGTTCTTATATTACAATTTCGATTTAACAAAGTAATTCCATCTGTTATTCCTACAGAAGGTAACATCCGAAAATCAAGGGAAGAATGTTCGGTTTCCTACAAATTGATATTGATTTCTGATTCATTACTAAACATATTTACAGCCTAGAATGTTTTTATATCGTTTCATCGCCAAAATCAATTTTCTGTTGGAGAAAGGATACATTGGATGAATGGAACTTGAAACATTATGGTAGTACTACCTATCTAATAAATTCCTTTATCGTATTACTCAAAAAAATTGCATTGTATTGTTTCTTTTGTTATTTAATTAATGGCTTGCAACATTTATGAGTTCACTTGTTTGATTAGCAATATCGCTATTTTTTAGAAATTTAAATTGTTTATAGTGCTAATCTTTGCACTTAAGATTTTAATATTAAAATATGTAGAAAAAGTACGAAAATATTAAATAGATAATTAGTGGTTAAAGCGTCAGGCCATGAATGCCGAAGACGTGGGTGGGTTCGATTCCCACAGCGGCGACAAACTTTTCGTACTTTTTCTACATATGTTAATATCGTTATTATTAAATTTAATAATTTGATATGAAATGTTTGACCACTCAAAGAAGAAATATATCGAGAAAGCTTATAATGTATATAATTTTGTTTTTACCTGCGAATGGACGCGAAATATTCTTTGATAAAAGCTTGTCCTTCTTTATAAATCTCTTCTACAGTTCGAGCCGTATCTCCTCGGCTGGGGATGTCCATGATACTTGTTTGACAAACTTTCTCCGAGCATTTTGTGTTCTGTAAAAATAATTACCAAATTATGTAACTATCACTTTTCAGGCAGCCAGTGATGATAATATAAAAGTAACCGTATTCTTAGTTGATATATTTTATATTATTTCTGTAGTCAGTTAGTGTTTAGTCATAGTAATACCTGATAAAGTAACATTTGACCAAAAAAAAAAACTTTTCTTTCTACATTTAGAAATTTCTCTTCCTCTTTACCAAAAAACATTACACAATAAAATTCATTTACATAATATATCACAAAATAAACTGATCCCTTAGAGGTCATTCTGTCCAAATTACATGAATGTAGGTATTTTTACTGACTTATAAAATCACATAATAAATTTAAATAAAAAACGTAAATAATAAATTTAATCGTAAAAGGGTATTCATGTGTGATTATTGTTACTATAAACAACTGCAGAAAGAATAAGAAATAAATTCATCTTGTACTTTTCTTAAGATTTAGTAATCGATAACGTTGCATCACTTTACTCGCAAAACAGGTGTCATTACAGTAACATAACGTTACATTATGATTACTATTTTCTCACCGCTCCAAGCCACCGATTAGCTAATTGCACAGTCGACGGCCATCGGGGTTTCGGTCCGAACCGCGACCTCGATGGCCCTTAGGTGACACACCATAGTTAAACGCACTTTGGTGGCTGGTGATCACCGTGGAATGTTTGACGAAAATAACCTGTCAACAGAATCATCGCTTTGCCAAACCGGTTTTGATTGTTTCGTAGGTCGTTCTATCTGATGCCTTCAAAAACTTTTTATGCGTCATCGTACATTCACACGAAACGATCAATTGTATTGCTGTAGGTTGAAAGGTTGCACGTTGGTGTCTCATTCATTTGTATTATCAACGATAACATGACATTTTCCTCCGTAAATACTGATAAAGCAATTGCGAGAAAAACATATTCAGAGTTAATTGTTGCTACTTTGATAATTCGAGCTCCACTAAGATGGTCCAAGAATAAAAACCAGCCAATTTATTGGTCAGCCATCCCTTCAGTAAGAGTGACGCGCTCATATTTTGATGCCGTTCCAAAAGCGGAATTATAATAAGCGTTCGTTAATATATAAGCGTTCGAACTGATTGTCTCAAACTGGTAATTGACTCTAGCTGACCCGGCAGACTATATTCTGCCCAAATTAAAATGAATTTATTTATGACTGCTACGTCAATTCATGGAAGACTATTGGAAAATGGGAAAAACCCAACAACGAGTAATAAAAGAATTTTAGGCCATAAAAGCCACGAAAGAATATTTAACATGTTAAGTACACGATCAATGAAGTCTTAAGTCTGAGATAAATTATATCAGCAGTTCACTGCAAACATACAATGAAACAAAATGGTACCAACTACATCTATCATTACATTCATATTATGTGCTTTGTCATCTAGATATATTAAAAGTCTCTCCAAACCTGTAAGGCATATAATATAGGTGTAACATAGGAGTAGTAAAGAATTTCGATAGATTTAAGGTCGTGAAAAACAGATGTGCTACAGATGACGAAACCAAAGGCTTTAGTTACTATATAATCTATATTCTGATAATAGATTGGTTTATGATCTTGGGTAACTCCAAGATCGTGTGCCTTATTCAGCACATACATGCCTTCGATGCTGGTATTTTATATCGTCAATTATGATTGTGATTGCATACAATTAATATGATTTTAATAATGATGTCTTGTATGATTACGCAAGTACGCGGGGTATTTTCTTTCATTTCTTATCATTAAACTTTTCTAACTCTCCACGTTTTGAATATGACGTTTTTCTAGTGAATACGGTTTATGTATGCGGTCAATTGATGCTATTCGTGCTAAAGATAAATAAAAAAAAATTAAATTTATAATACACCCTCATTTGATTTTTATCGCTTTAATGATGACTCTTTTGTTATTATGCCTTTGTTTGCAACATAAACATTTGAATTGATAATAAGGGGTTCTTCCGTCATTTTATCACTATCAATATTTTTATTGTGTATGTTTGCGAAAACCCTGAAGAAAACAAATTGTATTTTATTTTATACACCAATGTTCATAAGGAACTCTATAAATATCTGTTAAATAAAATGATTAAATTCAATTGCTATACTATTTCAAGATATTCATACATATTAACTCAAAGGCACAGCAGTTAGCCTGTTATGTAAAGACTGTCGAGACAGATTAAATCGGAATTCAAATATTGTACATTGATTTAACTGCTTCTAAGAAGCTGTATTTTATGGCAACTTTTTGTAGAAACTAAATAACTTTAAATAACTGTTAAAAATGAGAATAAAACTGATTATTCTATTTAAAATAATTCCAGACTCGTAACACTACAAAATGATTTAAAAATCCAACTAGACAATATTATGGGTCTTGTATAGTTTATAATTTCAATATGGATTTGGAAACTTATGGTTCACCAATATGACCTTTTTTTTTTCGTGGGGAAATCCGTTATCGGTACCTAGCCTCCAACGCCAGGTATTCCCAGGATTTCCCCACGGGGAAGCAAGGTGATGTCAGACTCGCCATCAGCTGTCACGGGATCTCCGTTTAGAACACTACCGCGGCCCCCCTTAGCTTGGCTTGAATAACCTCGTCCCAGCAACATCACTACACCCACCCCTGTGGCGCAACCACGATAACTTGAACCTACTTCAAGCCATCATCGCCCTTAGGTTCGTTTACTGAGCTACAGAGTCCCAGTCGCCCATCACCAATATGACCTAGGCTTATAATACGTATTTTAAGTGTCAATATATTATTTTACAAACAAATAAAATAGCCTTAAATTTTACAATAAAAGTCTTCTGAGTGGACATACGATCATCTGCTTACAAAAATTTGTCTATGTGAGAAAGTGGCAGATGCTACTACTTCGTTATAAGAGTAGTATTGTAATTATTAAAACACTCAGTTATTTCTTATTTTAGGTTTCTTAAAAAAATGAATTAGTAATGTTGATTGTTCACAAGATTAATTGTTTTTGAACACCTATTTCGTATAATTTTGTCACGGCCGTCAATTTGTCGTAACGAATCACTTCCTATAGGACTTTTTGATTAATATGTATAAAAACGTATTTCTCCGTCTAAAACCCCACTGTCAATCAAGACCTACAAGTGCGGTCAGCATGCGGAAAAAAAGGACCTTCTTTGTGGTTGTATAATTTTTTTACGAATGGATCGTCTACTGTTGGCCTTGAGGAGGCCTTTATAGATCCACCGGGCTTGAGGTGGCCTGACGCTAACGGCTTCTAGCCTCGTTTATAGGTGAATAAGCTCGAGGACTCCCGAGGGAACCTCAACACGGGCCGTCACGCTATTATAATTTTTACCGGCTTCGGAGGCCGCCAAGCTCTTATGCCGATTTGGCGGACACTCCATTTAGTAACGAGGCTCAAGGCTCCCCACGAGGGGATCTCGGCATGGACTGTTACTGATCAATATCCTTTTAGCATTTGCCTTAGAGGGCCAGACTTCGGCTCGATATGAATGAGAATTTCTATAGCTATCATTACTACCACTTCGAAAAGTGTTGGCTCTGGGAGCAAAATTAGCGGAAACTTCGGCAATTTTGCTCCCAGAGCAACGCTTCTATTACGTAAGTAGTATATATTTGCCGCCTAGTAAATAAACACCCAAGAACATGCCACACTCGCCGACGAGGGCGGTGATTTCTGGTGTTTCCGTAATTGTTTTATCCTGTTGATGGCGACAGTCTTCTCATCGTCAGGGAAATCGTAGACATGTCGCGGTCTAAACCATTTGTGGCCGAACGTTCCTAGCGTTCCTGAAATCGGATCCTTACCGATTTCAGGAATTGAGCGATGGTGGGCCTCTCTATCCGCATCTCCAATTTGTATGCCGTGATGCAGTATGGACATGATAGGATTCTGTACCTTTAATGTGTTGCATGCAATGTATGTACACCATGTTTTTACAAATAAAGACTTTGGATCTATCCATCTGAAAACTCCCGATTTCCGTATTGTCACTGATCTGATTTTAAGCACATCGTGACTTGCTAAATTATTTCATGTTAAGGATTTTACAGCGTTTCGTTTCGATTTATCAACATCCGACTTTACCAACACTACACCCCATGGATGACTGGATTGACGCGATGTAGCCTGTAAAGTACTTTTATTTGACAATTCAAACTACGCGTAAATACAAAAAATGCTACGCGACTTTTAATTACTTAACGCGTGGAAAAAACATCCGGTTCCCGAATTTCGTCCTTGATCTCAGGTAAAACATCCGCCTGTTTACAATGTTATGAACATCTATGTATTCGAAGGCCTTGTTAATTTTTTACGCCAAAATGAGTTATTTTTACCTTAATCTATGTCATAATCAACAAGTTATAAAAGAAATATCTTACATGACTGTTGTATTAAAAACAGCTTAATATGATTTTATTAATCTACATGTATAGAAGAGAAATCATTAACAGAATAAGTCATTATTAACTTTTATGTCATTTTTAGTTTTATTAAAAAAAACTGCTTTGATATAAAATAAAATTTACTGCTCATATATGTTCTTGCCCAAACTGAAACTTCACCAACTGAATCATCGACTATTTTGAAATGCTGCAAAGGAATGATTTAAGCTTTTTTAATTGCACGCTTACTTTTAATAAAAAATACAATTGAATCTATTTTTTACCGAAGTAACCATTTTAAAACGTGACCAGTCCTATTATTTCCTAGCTAATTTAATCAGTCAATGTTTTTATTGAAAGAGATACCGGTATTACTAAAAGTCGCAGCTTTACCTAATTGAACTATTATAAATATTTATAGAAAATTTACTATCCTTATTAAAAGTAGTAAGCATTATTCACAAATTGAAGAACAGGCTCAAAGGGACTCCATTTCATTGCATTCATTAATTATTTATAACTCTCATATATTCTACGGTGGTAGGGCCACGCAACAGTGTTCGCTGTTGAACGAATGGGCAGGTCCGTCTGGG